AAAAAAATAACCCTGGCCAATCCAATACCATAATTTGTCAATAGAAGGGAATGAACAAAATTATAGTTTATGTATTTGGGGTATAATATAGGTATATATATATAATAGATATGGCAACACTTATTATCTGACAACATGGAACCCATTTGTTATTGTTCATATTACGAAAATTGTGTAAAAATTAAATGCTTATTTAAAGCAAATACTTAAATATTTAATATAAAATAAATATGTAGAAACATTGAAGTGAAAAGTTAGTGTATAATAAGTGCATAATATAAAAGAAAAGATAACCATAAATCGAGAAATTGTAAAATGAAGTTTGTGAAATTTTCAACTTAAAATGCAAATATCTCGAAAACTATAAGTTTCCTGCGGCAATAATTATATATGTTCGTGATCTGGAGAATCTCCTCTATCCAACCATAACCCTCTTAACCCTGAAATCGTGGGATGCTAAACTAAAGCCCACCCTTAATAAGTATTGAAAGTTCAAAATAGTTGTTTTAATATAACAGAAAATCATAAACAAAATTAAAGAATTTCTCCATATATTAAACGAAAAATATATAATAATGTTTAATCGTAATAATTTTTGGGTGTTTCATTTAAATGTTCAAAAATTATTACTTTGTATGATCTGACTACAACTTTATAAAAAAAACGCTAATTTTGAGGCGCTCTAACACTTTGTCGCACATTATAGGCAAATTCTCTTTTTGTGTCGCTTTGTGCTTGCACACGAGTGAAAAGAGTCCTGCAACTCGAGTATAGTTTTACTGTCATTCCTTTTCATAAAATTTTCGCAAATGTGTGTGTGGTTCCTTTACGCGACACTTAATATATTGCATAGTTCATTTGTATGTTGCTATGGTGGTCTCATATTTTGTTTATAAAGAATTATGAAAGTGGTATAACAATATTCAAAATACCCGCTATTAATATTATATTTTCAAGGCTAAATGTAAGACAAGAATTTCCTTATCTATCGGGAATTATTAAAAGTCCGTATTTGTTCTACTCCAACTTTTTTTCTATTACAAAACATTCATGAAGTAATTACATTTCTTCTAACTAAATCATTTGCGGTTAAAATGAATAAATATGTAAGCATCTTAATATTTTATGTAATTATAAATAAGTAAAAGTTACTCCATTTTTATTAGAATTCATTTATATATGTATGTATATATTATTACATATAATACTGTCAAATGTTATTAAAATTTTAAAATAAATATTTTTGAGAGTTTTATCCTGATTCACATTTTGTCAAAATATTTCTATTATTCTATTTCATCCAAAAAAATATATATTTATTTGAAACCTAGCGCTATTGCAACCATGAAAAGAGTTTCAAAATGAAAAGTAATGCTGAATTGCGTAGCAGTAAACTGTTACGAACAAGAACTCAATGCGTGCCAATCGAGCACGAGTGGCACGATTCCTTCGTCTTCATTGTCGTCCCCTCGCCATCATAAAACCGGTTTAGGCGATAAAAGAGTCTGTGTGTGAGCTGGGACTAAGTTGGTCATCCATTTATCACTGTTACCACAATGGATTGCACAGAACACACCCGAAGTTTAAAGCTCTTCTGTCAGAATCATGTTTTCTCTCATTTGGGGATGGAAACATTTTATGAAGAATCGATTTTCGATTCCGATTTTATGTTTTCCGAGCCTAACACATTACTCGAGCACAAGAATCGATTCTCTCGATTTTAATCGATTATATTTAAAAACATCAATAATATAAAGTTGTAGATATATAATAAACTAGTGGACTAAGGTATACATTAATTACATACTAATTAATACAGTAAAATTGTATTTATGAAAGAAAACGAAAACGTTAATTCCATTGTAAGAATAACCAAGCGGATCACTTCCAAAGTTGAAAATGGTTAATACTAATTTCCTTCGATTTGTTATTAAAAACAAATAAACATAAAATATAATATGTTGATTTTTTTATTTTATTAATTTTATATTAAAATATTAAACAAATGAGTAATTTTCAAAGTTGTTAGTAGACAACGTTGGAAATAATGAAAGAGGTTGATCTTTCTTAATTTTTAACAATAATATTTGTAGTATTTTTTTTTATTTTTATTTTTTATTTATTTATTTATTTATCCCAGGATACAAAGTACATATTACATACAAAGTATGCACCTATAGAGGTGTTACAAAACACCTGTACATAGGCCTGGTAATATTAGTTTATTATAATTAAGTACTAAATGTATTAATAACAAATGTCATTTATAATTGAAAAACAAAAGAAAACATAGTATTTTTAAATATCAGTGTCTACAATCCACTCAGTTATTTTCTTTTTGCTTGCTTTATTTTCAATATTTAACAACTTTAGACTCAGCGGTAACATATTGTAGTATTTAATTGCTACATATTTCGAGTCTTTGTAAGATATATTTTTATTAATCTTTGGTAACTGTAACGGTTTAGCTCTAGCCTAAATACCTCTCTACAATCAGAATAATGATAACATAGTGACTCAGAAATAAACTTCTTTTTAATACCCAGTACGGGTGTTCTCTCGTTTTTATCACATAAATGATTAATTAATTTATCTTGTATTTTTATTAACAATTTTGTAACATTCTTATAACTACCTCCCCAGGCAATAATTCAGTTCATTCATAGTTGACTATACTATCGGATAATGCGCAATAAATTGTTGTATTAATTAAGCTCTATTTGTATCGTACGTTCTGACAGTTGGAAAACGTGGCAAGAGGGCCATTTCTCCATTAAATTTTCCAGTCAAAATAGTTGCTACAATAATATTTCTTGTAATCTTTTTGATTATCAAAGTTGTACCGTTGCATAATTGAGGTGAATTGAAATAGCTCTGAATAATTTTCAACCAAAGATTATGTGATGGCATTCCGAGTATATCTAAATAATTTACGTTTTCATTCACATTAACAACAGTAGCAAATTATTAAAAATAGAAGATTCTATGCTATCCCCTCACCTATTTAAAGTGAAATCGGTTAAGCCGTTCATAAGTTATAAATATTGTAGCCAACCCTTTGTATATATTGTACCTAAAGTTTGTCGTCTGCTTGGTGGCATTTTCAAAAACGAAAATCCTACTGAAAATAAAAAATTACTCCCTTATATTTTCTGTTTAACCATGTATACCAAATTTTAATATTGTGTAGTCACCAAAAGTTACCCAAAATCGATATTAAGCTGTGAACTTACCGTGATTAACAAACACTTATTAGCAAACAACAAACTTCTTAGTCTTTAAAACAAAACAAACTTTATCAAAAACTTAATAAAATTATCGTTAGCGCTATGTTAGGTTATGAGTGTCAGATTACCACAGATTACTAAATAGGTTATGCGAAGTTTGTATACTGCATTCTAAATCTAACTCATGGTTTCGAATCGATTTCGGAAGGCAAAGGTCGAGTCCGAAAAATCGATTATTTTATGAAAAAAATCTATTCTCGAGTAGAATCGAAATCGTGTTTTCCCCATTGCAAACCCCATTTCTTGGAATTAATCCTTGATATTCCTTTTTAATGCCCATAGAGATAGTGTAAAATGTTTGTCAGGTAATAAAATGTTTTAAGATTGTCATAAGCATTTTGGCTTCATTTTTCTGATTTATATTTGTTATCTTTTAGTTGACTTATTATTTTTTGGATCAGCTAATGAGTGTCAAACTCTTATAGAAAACCATATGTGTGTCACTATGCTGATACGTGGTTTACAGACGTTTTATTTTAGTACACATTATTGTACGGAAACCATCCTGTCTTTAGCATAAGAACTTCGAAATTGGGATCGCGGCCACTTTAACCATTGTTTTATTGTTATCCTTTAACATTCTCTGGGAAAAGCTCAATACTGCAGTTTTCGAGTCCGCTGATGTTAAACTATGGTGAAACACACACATCATTATCAGCACCCCTCCGAAGAGGGCCATTTAGACGTCTGCGCGGGGTTCTGACTATTGGCATAGTGAAACGAATTATCATCGTCGATTTTGTCAGAAAATAATATTTTTAACCATGGTGTGAGGATATAAAATAAAGGCACAAACTTTATTCAGAAGTGCTATTCATAAATATCTTAAGAGGATACATGCGTCTTTTTAATTCAAAACATTTTTTTATTATTCAATTGTACAACTCATTAGGAATATTGTCTGAAAATATCCAGCCGATCCGAGCCAAGTTTCCAGAGATATAGACATTTAAAGCTCGTAGTTACGGTCGAATCACCTTGACTCTCAGAAACTTTAAACGCGTTTTTCTCAAAACTGCTTCTTTGAAGTGGGTAGTCAAAATTTCTCGATAACTTACGAACCGATCGGCTTGAAATTTTGCATACATCTTTTAAACATGTTTGACTACTGCTTGAACGAAGGATTTTTTACAATTCAGTTGAGAGGGTAATACGTGGCCAAATTTTGTTCAAAAATGCATATGATTTGCAAAAATATTTTTTTAAATCCTTTGCTCAAGCAGTTGCTATACTCACTTACTAAAAGAAAAACTTTGGTTTGTCGAAGTTTAGATAAAAATTACCTAAGTTACAGTAACTACCGACACATTTCTAACGCTGAGGTTAATTAAAGCGCTGTCAACGGCAGAATTTACAATATTTTCAAATGCAAATTTTTGTACATGATGTTGACTTACGTACAAGAAAAAAATTTAATACTAATATTGTCGCTTAAAAACCAAATCCAGAAAAACGACCTTGTTTTAAGTATCAAGACCCATGAAACCCCTTGGTTGATGATATTTTGATATTTTGTATTGTACTTTACTACAAGAACGTGTGGAGAGTATAAAGGAAAAATGTAAACGAATGGAGAAAACTCTGTTTAAAAATACACTTAGATAAATACAATTTTTGCTGCAAAGAAACAAACTTCTTAGTACATGTACTTACCACCAAAGGGATTAAGACAAACCCTGAGAAAGTTAAAGGGGTATTGTAACTAAAGTTACTAACAACACATAAACAAATTAAGGGAATATTCTGCTTTAGAAGCCCGAATTTTAGTTTTTTTTCGGACTCGATAAAAAAAAAACAAGAAATATTTTTAGCATACATTTTTTTATATGTTTTTTATTGATATTTAATGAGTACAAATCATTTGTAATATTAAAAAAAAAAAATTTTAAAGTTCCAGGCCGGCAAAGTGGGACAGATGAAAAAATGGCGTGTCCTGGTGTTCAGGATATCAGGACTACTTAATACTCCTTATCCTTAAAGAGGAAGGACGTAGTTATAGCACTACGAGAGGATTTTGGAAAAAAATATTTTTTCACAAAATGGCGGCTGTTTGAAAAATCTTCCCTTTTTTTCCGTTCGGAATTTTTTAATAACATAAAAAAAATTGGTTTTTCAAAAATCCTCTCGTAGTGCGACTGTATAATGTATACATAAGCTCTGTATAAAATTTCAAGTAAATCGATTGAGTAGAACTTGAGACATCATGCACTGCGTTCCAAAAAAAGTAGTTCAGAGAAAAAAAAAAATAAAATAATTTACTTAAGCCAAGAAAAAGATATATCAGATATTCCTCGACGAAATAATTAATCCGGAAAAGTAGGAATTTATTCGGAACTAAATCACCATCAATATAATAGGTTGCAAGAAAAATTTATTGATATTTATAGCCAAAAAGAAAAAATTAAATTTATCATAACATTCAAAACAATTGCTTTTATTCTTGAAGACAGGAATAGCATAACTATTGAAGAAAAACTAAAACAGTACATATCGATTAGATGACGACCACAACTAATGATTTTAGATAATGAATTAAATTATATTAATGTTAAGCATTTTTTAAACGAAAAGGAAATACAGACTCATAACAAACCAGACAGTCATACTGGTAATGCAGATATAGAACGATTTCATAGTAGTTAGTGAGAGTATTAAAAATTGAAAAACCATGCTTGACAATCCAGGAACAAGTTTTTCAAAGTATTAAATGCTATAATAATTCTATTCATTCAACAACAAGAGCAAGACCAATAGGAAGGATAAAATATGATACATGAAAAATTTTTTAATAATAAAATGCGCATTATCCAAAAATTTAATAAAAATAGAGACAACTTTAGAAATACTGATCAAGATGGATACGTTAAGAACTATAAGGCAGTTAGACATAGGTATATATGAATCTAGGTATAGAAAGATACCGCTTAACAATATATATTATTTGCAGGTATGTTCAATCCTAATGATATTAATATTACTAACGGTAAAAACAATTGATGGACGTATGGAGATTAAGAGATAGGATATATTAAAATAACAACAGGTAACGTGAATTATGCGGACACATACGACACTGTACTGTATTTAAAATCTACAGAACAATATACAACAACCAGAAGAGAAAGAGAAAGCCCAACCACTAGAAATGCAATTAGAAATTAGAAAAAAGAAACATATATTCCTCATCGCCACAAAAGAAGTCTAATAAACGTAGTAGGAAGGGCAAAAAAATGGATATTTGGAACCATGAATGATGAAGACAGTGGAAGAACATTTGCACATAATTATAATTAATAACCACAAAACTATTAAAACAATCAAGCGACAAATAAGTATATATTCAAAACTAGAATCATTAATTGAACATGATAGGGAATTAATAATAAAAACCGTAAATTTTATCAGAAAACAAGAAAAGGAAAACCAAAAACATATTTACTAACGAGTTTCATGATAAAATTAAAGATTCTGCAAGACAATATATCGCACACAGCAAGATGCTAAAAAATGACGAAATTGAATATTTCAATGTAGACTTTAATAACCTACAAAACATCAAAGTAGGCACTTTGATTGATGAAAAAGGGCGCATTATATTCCCAATAAGAAGAGATATAATTAATTTACCTATTTTTAAAACTATAACTTTAGGAGATAGATGCAAAAAGAACTTTGTTAAAATTTGTTAGATTTATGAATTCTTTATTAGTATATAAAGAAAACGTGGACCTGAAAATATTATAATCAATGAATAACATATAAAAAAGTGTTTAAAAACTTTTTATAACAATTCAAAAGTTATAGAAATAAGAGAAGCAAGTTTATTACTTACAAATTTTAAAGATGTCAAACTAAATTATACATATAAGGAAAACCAAATAATTTTAAACGGCCTTTATTATTATACTCTTTCTCAACAAGAAAATAAATCACATTGAAATTACAAATATAACGACTCAAGAGCTCCAAAAAACCTACTTACTTTCAATATAGTTCATAATATTGCCAAACCATTTTATTGTAACCCAAAACCGACCAAACTCTTCCGCTAAACAAGTGCTTAATGCAAACAATTAATAGTTATTTCTTAACGCGAAATACATTATCGTACAATAACCCGTCGACCCACTTACAATATGCCTTAATAAACAAAGTCATTTCCAATATACATACATATCATAATTCAGAAAGCAGCAAAACAGATCCCATTAACAAAAATGCAGATTAACAAATTATAATTGAGTGAATGATTGGGGAAAAGAATAAATACTGTATATACATATGTAAAAAATTTGAATTGAGCAAAGCCGCAATCGTAGGAGTCCTTACTGGACACTGTCCTTTAAACATTCATGAGGTAAGGCTAAAAATCTTGTCGGACGCTAGTTGTTAAAGTTTTATGGAGGATGGTGAGGTAGAAACATCCAGGCACTTTCTGCTCCATTATCCAGCCTTTGCCAAAGACATACCCGAAAGTAACATTAACTTCAACAAATTTGTGATAGGCTCTAAGTGCTTTGTCAATTTGTAAGGGTCTTATGATCCAGCATATAGGAGTTTTTTTGATACCACAATGAACCGGCATTCTAAACAGTTCAAGTGAGATCCCTCTTTGGATCGACCTCTTAACCTAGCCTAACCATTCAATGACACGGAATCAGAGGAAGGTTTTTGCGCCGCTATAGTAGGACCGGAACCAGACTGTGTGTCAATGGCCGAAAGTATTCACAGTTGGTCCGCATATGAAGGACAGTCTTCTATTGCAAGGAACGTATATTTATACTAAGTGATAGCCAGACAACAGGAAAATCTTAGTTCATAGCCGATCACAATTCGATGCAAAATCGACTTGTTTTTCAAACATCAATTCTGCTTTGCTTTTAAATACATCCGGCTGATTTTAAACATTTTAAAATGGATGCATGAGTGACTCCTAAATATTCTGCGAATTCTGTGTTGGCAATAATATTCATCGAGTAAGGCTTTCAGTCCCTCATCTTCAAACTTTTTTGGCTCACGCCCAGGGAACCGAAATTTCCACTTTTAAGTCGCCCAAACTCTATTTCGCTTAGCTAGGGAATATTCACCATAAACTTGCACCAAAATACAATGACATTCGGCTGAGGTTTTGTTCCTATAAGAGTATTGAAAAACTCCAAAACAAAACCCAAAGTTCGGCATATTTGAAAAAAATGCTGCTATTTACGCTTCAAATGAATGATATATGCTCGAAAAGATTTAAAAGGGCAGTAGCTTTCCAAGAAAGATCAGATTTCAGAAGATTGGAATAAAGGAATAACAATCCAGTTAAGCCATCTCTTTTCAAACCTCACGAATACAGCTATAAACACATTATTTGCGAGGCTAGGTACAAAAACTAATAAGATCCGGAGATTTATAAATGTAATCATTGTATGATTATGGAATAATTCAACTGCAAATTAGGCCTCAGTCACGGTGATTTCGTCATCGTTGTTGGTAAATTTCTTTCCAGTGAACATTCCTTGACTCCTTATTTGTTCGTCCATAATAGGAAACTGATGGGCCTTTAAATTATAACATTAGGTAAAGTAAAAAATTCGTTCGGTTTCGATTTAAGTCAAATATGCGCCGTTTTGTTCGTAAATTTGTTGCCGACGAGATGCTAACTTCATTATACCCCTCTCGTAGAAGACTGCATCCCTATTGCCAAAAAACTCGGAGAGCCAATTTTCACAGGCCTCACTTGAGTCCAACTTCTCACCATTAAGCGCGTTCGTCATGGACAGGAAAAGATGGTAATCACTTGGTGCCAGGTCCGGACTATAAGGTGGGTGCATTAGAACATCCCATCCGAGCTCCAGGAATTTCTGGCGAGTCACCAAAGACGTGTGTGGCCTGGCGTTGTCCTGATGGAACACAATTCGGCCTCTGTTAATCAAAGATGGCCTCTTCTGGATGAGTACTGCCTTCAAGCGGTCCAGTTGTTGGCAGTAGAAGTCCGAATTGAGCGTTTGGCCATAGGGGAGCAGCTCGCAGTAGATGATTCCTTGCTCATCCCACCAAACACACAGCAAAACCTTCCTGTGGCCGTCAATCAGGTCTTGGCCACCATCTGGGCCGCTTCCCCGAACTTTGACCACGACCGTTTGCGCTCGATGTTGTCATAAGTGACCCATTTTTCATCGCCAGTCACAATCCGCTTCAGAAACGGGTCGATTTTGTTGCGATTCTGTAGCGATTTGCAGATGGAAATTCGGTCCCCCATGTTCTTTGCGTTAGTTCGTGTGACACCCAAACATCGAGCTCCTTTTTGAATCCAAGGTTATGCAAATGGTTCCAAACGGTTTTCTGGCTTATCTTTAGTTCCTCAGCAATTAAATAAGTGCCCACGTGACGGTCTGTTTCCACTATTTTCATGATTTTATCGCAATTTTCGACGACAGGCCTCCCGACGCGTGGTGCATCTTTGACATCGAAATTACCGGAACGGAACCTAGCACATCACTTTTGTGCTACACGGTCGTTTACAGTATCGGGCCCATAAACTAAATTAGCGCTCACAACGAACTGAGTAAATCAATCGAAAAACTGTCAAAGACAAACTTTTAGCGCGAATAAACACGTTTTCAGCGCCGTATAGTATGACATGATGCGACACGTAACCCAAGTACTATGGACGGCGTTATTTTTTATCTCTTAGATAAAAACCGAAGGAACTTTTTACTTGACCTAATATAATCTTAACACGGATAAAGAAACTTATCCACAAACGTAGATCAGTAACGGGTGTACCTCCTTCCCAACACTTGCTTGCAGACAGTCATAAAAATGTTTACTGTTCTGTTACCATGAGCTCAATAAAGATTTATAAACAAAATTTTATGCTAAAATGGCTGAAAGAAAGAATACAGAATCAAACAGTTTACTCGCATAATTTGAAATATATACATACATATGTACATAGCCACAGCATGGTATAGGTACATTAAATATTTGTATAATAAACTATTCAATACAATAAGAATATTATACGAGGTGTCTTCAGAAAATACCGGGAATTCTAAAATTTCGCGGCTTTCGAGTCCAATTTTAATTTTTTTTTTATATTGTGTTGCCATACATTAGGGTGGAGCGAAAAATTTTTTTTTAAGTGTTAAAATAAATGTTGAGTCAAAAACCGTAACATTTGGTAATTTTTATATAAATGTAAAGAGTTTAAACAAAAAATAAATAGGGAAAGAAGATTTATAGTAAACTTAGAAAGAGATGGTTGGCATAAAAACATGGTAGCTGCACGTAACACATCAAACATTTATACGGATGGCTCGAAAATGCAAGTCGGAGTTGTCGCGGGGATATACTGTCCCGAGTTAGGCATAACACAATCTGTATATATCAAGCAGATTTTTTTACTATTGAAAAAGTCCTCCTATCCTCTAATGCATCTGCAGACAACTCCAGACTTAACATTTACATGGACAGCCAAGATCATCAAGGCTTTAACCTCGTTTCGCATATCGGCTAGAAGTGTCTTGGAAAGCAAGACAATAGTGGACAGTGTGGCTATGTGGCTGTAATCTGAAAACGTTACTTTGAAAAACGTGACATTGATTAACCCATGCATTGTTTATACGACGTTTTGGACAGGAGCATGGCAAGGTAAATCAAATCGATAAACTGATCTACCTGGGTGCAAAACGGCAAAAATCATATGAAAAAGGTAGAACGGAAATATACCAAATTCCTACTATCATTCGATAGAAAGACTGTAGGCAAAGATAGGAATACTCACTGGTCACAGTCTAAGGCTGGCAGAACGAGAAGACTGCATGAAATGTCAAGAGCCAAGCACCAAGGAAACAATGAAGCATCTCTTGTGAACTTGTCCCGCATTGGCAAGGCTATATTTTAAGCATTTGGAGGCAACACGGCGTGAGACATTGGAAGATGTATTGTTAGTGAGGGCACTGGCACCTAAAAGTTGACTACTCCTCATGGACTACTCCAAAACTGGCCTATGCGTAGCTCAGTAGTCTTCCAGACTAACATAAGCTAACATACTTCTTAAAAACTATAAAACACCTTTATAAGATACTTTTGCGAAAGTATCAACGCAGCATACTCAATACATACGCAAAATTGTAACGATGACGTTGGCATAGCTGATATAGAGTTACCTCATTTTCAATCTTATGTAATATACACTTGAGTAAAAATTATGATTTCCTGATAAAACTTTGCGGATGTGTCCTTTGGCAATTTAGGAATGTTTATATTGGAGATGTGTACAATCGGGCCTCAACCAATATATAAAAAAAATTTTACCGTAAAAATTGCACTACAAATCTGACTTCTTTTAGGCAAATTGCTTATCTAAGCAACTACTACACTAAATTGGTATAAAATATTTCTCTGACCTTGTTAAACTATAATCTTAATCGGGCTGAAATTAGAAATGATACTTATTCGTCGTCATAATTAACTCTAAACCTGATCTAGGCTCCATACACTGAATATGAATTATACAGAAGGGGCGCCGACGGACGTTGTTCCGTACACAGTTCTTTAATTTGTATATTTCAACCTCTTGTCATTGTTGCCAAGCGGTTTAGAAATTGCAAGCTTTTAAACGGCATAGGTGAATCTGAATTAATTTTAGAGGTAGGAATACAACTTAACCTTGAATTTTTGCTCTCAAAATTGTGCCTTCAAGAATGCTTTTTTTGACTAGTCTCCTAGTAT